CATTTTTACACCAGTTTTGGCCACAAAATTTTTGGGGAAAATTCAAATTGTGTGGAGGGGGTTTGGAGAAGGGGGCCGGGTTTTCAATATGGTGGGAATGTCCAAAAAATCCAGGCTTTTTGGAAGATAATAGTCAAAATTGATTAAAGAATTAACTGAAATTTGACATAGGGTTAGACCCAACGATTGTAGACCTGTGTCTCCCTACACAATGTGGAGACATCTGTAAATAAATATAAAGATTCAGGTATCTGGTACTTCTTGAACGCGGCAAAAGGGTTGATACCCAGTTTTGGCGGAAAGCTGAGGTACCGTAGGAGGAGACTGGATTAATAGAGTAAAACCAGATAGGGTAGAATGGAAAGATACATAACCATATGCAGGAAAGATAGGGATCGAGCAGTGGAGGGGGGGGGGGTGTTTATTTTAGTGGGGGGGGGGGGGGGCGGCGGGGCGGGGGGACGTTATGGAAAAGGGTGGGAAAGCGGGTGTGGGGGGTGGAGCAGGATTGAAAGGAGAAAGAACTATAGGAAAATAATGAACTAGGGTGTTAGCAAAAAATTATATAAGCCTCAAGAGAGTAGAATGGGTTAGAGTCTGCAGAGGGGGAGGAGGGGGGGGGTGAGGGGGTGGGAAGGGGAGGGTAGTGGGATGGAAAGGAAAAAGAGTTTTTTTTAGTAAGGGAAAGGTAGAAATTGTTATAAATGTCTAATTGTATGAGAATTATTTCCTTTTTTTTTTGGGTTTTTGTATTAACATGAAAAATTTAATAAATATTTAAATTAAAAAAAAAAAAAAAAACCAAAAAGCTTGGAATTCTACTAGTGTACAGCCATGAATACTAAAGGCGGTTCTCAATTTGCGGCAAAAACAGTGCAGCGCATTTTCGGGCGCCATAACCTTGATATGGTACCCCAAATGCAGTGGGATCTGTGACACAATTGTTGACAAAACATCTGAGAATCGTGGCAAAAACTCGCATGGAAAATGCAAAATGTGGTACCCCATATCATGCTTTGCAGGACCCAAAGGTACACTTAGGGTCAGCCTATTCACAGTGTAACCGTGGGGCGCACACGCAGGACACACGTGGTCACTTCCGCATGAGAATTGTCGCTCACAAAAATCACACGCAGGAATCCTTGTTCCGACTGTGCAATATGTGAACAGAGCTTCAAGCTACACTCCGGGGATCAGCAAATATTGACTACATCCATTCATGTGTTTCCTCTTGAATCTCGGACGGTGTGCTCTGTGTATTTCTTCCAGATCTGTGCAGAAATCCAGCGTGAGACTTCCTGTAATAAAGACCGCTCACTGCTGCCCTCTCTCCTTGGGCAGGGTGGCTGGTCTTGTCTCCTCCCCCCTCCTGTAGGTTTCTGCAGTCAGCCTGTAGTGGGTGGAGCATGCTGAGACACCCCCCCCCCAGCTCTGCTCTATACACAGGCTATGTACAGCATGGTGATGAACATCACTGCTATGTTTATAAAGCAATATCTGGCTTTGTAAAGGCATTTCTTGTGTGTAATGCAATATGTAATCTTCTTTTAGTCTATTGAGGAATATATTTAAAGTTTTTGTTGTCCGGAGTTCAGCTGTTAAGTTGCTTATTTCCTGTTCGGGCTATAAATCCATCCTTGATACTAACATTACTAGGTGTGTTTGATTCCAGCACAGGGGTAAGTACGGACCTGAAATGGAAAGTGGCTGCAATTGATGGGGACACCACTGTTAGACTCTTTTTGTATCTATTCTATTCTTAGAAGGGTACTGCAACCTCTGACTCATTTCCCACAGGCCAGGTGCGGTTCAACACACATCTGAATGATATATATATATATTGTACTGTGCATCATACAGGATATTATAGATCCGGCATCACTACATGGCGGGCTGCGCTGATACGGGCCGACTCGCTGGTCCTGCCATTTAGAAGCCCGCTTGATTCATTTTTTCTTCAATGAGATTGCGATTGAATCTCGTGACCAAGGTGCAGTAGTGAGTTCTGTGTCTTAGCCGACATCCCTAGCGGTCTGATTATGTCAGTGTGTCGGTGCTCAAAGCGGTACATTTTTTTTGCATGGAAATATGTAATTTTTTTATTGTAAGGCCTGTCATTTCTAGGAATATCTCACTGAAATCTGTCCGAACAAGAGTCTAGAAGTAAAACATCCCGGGGGTGATGGGTGATAAACTTGAAACATGAAGTCATTAATATATAATTTAACCCTCGCCTACAGGGACACTTCTTATCCCCCTTCGCTGCTACAGGGCACTTCTACCCCCTATCCTGCCTCGACAGGGCACTTCTACCCCCTTCCTGCCTACAGGGGCACTTCTATCCCCTTCCTGCCTACAGGCAGGGACACTTTACCCCCTTCCTGCATACCGGGCACTTCTACCCCCGTTCTGCACTACCGGACACTTCTACCCCTTCCTCCTGCCTACACTGGACACTTCTACCCCCTTCCTGCCACACAGGACACTTCTACCCCCTTCCTGCCTACCGGCACTTCGCCACTTTCTACCCCCTTCTGCCTACAGGACACTTCTACCCCCTTCCTGCCTACAGGGCCACTTCTACCCCCTGCCTCTGCCTATCAGGTCAATTTCCCAGCTTTCAGCGCTGTAACAATCTTGAATGACAATTGCGCGGTCATGCAACACTGTACCCATACCAATTTTTATAATTTTTTTGAGACCAGATAGGAGATTTCTTTTGGTGGTATTTAATCACATCGTGGATTTTTATTTTTTCTTATAACAAACCAAAAAAACACTGAAAATTTAGAAAAAAAAGTTTTTTTTCTTAGTTTTTGTTCTAAATTTTGTAAATAAGAGGATTTGTTCTACCTTCACTGATGTGCGCTATGAGGTTGTGTGATGGGCATGATAGGTGCACTGATGGACACTGATAGTGTGCACTGATGGCACTGATGAGGAGGCACTGGTAGGTGGCAATCGATGGGCATTGACAGACATCACTGAGGTGCACTGAAAGGCAGCACTTCATATATGGCACTGATAGGCGGCACTGACTGGCACTGTTAGGCGGCACTGACTCGGGCACTGATAGGTGGGCACTGATTAGGCGGTCAATGACTGGATTGATAGGTGGCAGCACTGAATATTAGTGTGGCAATGACTGGCATTATGATAGGTGGCACTTGTGCGATGGGGCTGACATGAAAGGCAGCTCAGATGGGCACTGATATGTGGCACTGATGTTTGCACATGGTAGGCACTGAAATGTGTTCACCTGATGGGCACTGGCACGAGGCACTGATGAGCACTGACAACTTGGCAACCTGATGGACACTGACAGGTGGCACTGCTGGGGTTACAATGAATCATCAGGGCACATGTCCCCTCTGTGGAATGCCTAATTACCGGCTCTTCTTTCCTCTTGTCAGTGTGACCAGCTCGTGAGGAGAGAAATGCGATTAAACCGGCATTTCCTGTTTACATGTGATCAGCTGTGATTGAACACAACTGATCACATGACCGAGCCCAACATCTTCGGCGCCCCTTCCGTGGATCGGTGGTCGCTGTGTCTTAGGGACACAGCGCACCACCGATCGCCGCACTGTGCGGTCCTGGAGCCGCACATCATGTGCGGTTAGAATGGGAGGGTGTTCATGATGACATCCTCCCAGAACGAGAGAACCGCCTTGTGCCTCGTCATTGTACTATATTATGCTAAATAAATAATCATAAAAAGAATAATAATATAATAATAATACATTTAATTCAATAATATAATCAAATCAAAACACTGAAATGTGAAATTATAGCGCCAAAGTGTCGCACATCACTGAGCAAAGTCGCAGAATCGTTTTCAGTTGTCTGATGAGGAATTTCCCCCACGAATCATTATCACTCAATTCTGCAAGTGGTTCTGATTTACTATCGCTGTTCTCTAGCCGGTCTAAAACCACTTCTGACCTAAAGGGGGACGCTTTTTGGACGCCATGGACGTTTCTCAGTTTCCAGGCAGAAAAGAACAGTAAAAATGCAGGCAGGGCGCCAAGGACAAAGCACTCGGGACAAAATGTATGTGAAATGGTTTGATACAGGAATGTTATACTATGTGATTTTAGTGTATTCAGTGAATGTCACTTTTACAACTTTACAAATTTCCCCGCCAGTTCTGTCCCCGTACGTTCCGACGCTCGCCAGGGTATCGGAACCAGAAGACAGATGCGCTGGCCATCGGCAGGAGGACATGCGGGGACACTGCAGGGGGGGGGACATCGTGGGAGCGCAGGATAAGGAAGTGAAAAACAGATCCGCGGAGCAGATACGCTGCAGTGTATTTCCGAGTGTAATGCTCGGGGGGGGTTAGCGCTTGTGGGTGCTGAAATATTACCCCGAGCTACACTCAGGAATACCGCCAGGGAGGTCATAAAGCTCTGTATTTTAACATTGGAATATTTCTTACTACTGTAATTGTGCCCCCCCCCCCCCCCCCCCCACCCCACCCCATGGAAGAAGAATGGTATCCAGCTACCCAGAGGGCTTTGTTCTTCCTCTAGTCCTAATCTGCTTGTTTGTGAAGAGACCTTCTAGTTATTTATGTAATCTACCTAAGCGGATATAATATATAACTGATACTTACCCTTTGCATCCATTTCCCACACAGGAGCTATGAGGCAATCGAAGAGAACTTAATATAAAGTCAAAAAAACCGCACAAACTTGTCAGTTGGGTTGCAAAAATTCCTCCCTCTCAATTCACAACACCGACAGCACCATTGGCAAACAAAGACAGCAGGTGACAGCACCGGGGCAGCTATGCCCCAGGTTCCAGCTCCTTCATCATTGTCTAACTGTTGGGCTGGATCCAGGAGAAGTGGATTCCTAGTTTATGCGAATGCCTTTTCCTGTCGTTTCCGCCTTTCGTTATTGCTTTTTTCTCCCTAGACTCGATTTCTTGGACCTTCCTTTTCTGCGTTCTAATCCTCACTTGGTGATGCTTCCTCTATCTTCCCTGGATGCACCTTGGCTGGGAGGTGTCCTCGTCCACATTTCCTCCTTTTCTGCTCTCTCTTTCCATGTCCCACTGCATTAACATGTTATGTTGACTCTTCCCCTCGCATCAAGTGTCATGATCTCCACCTCCTTTTTAACCGTCAGCTTTGGTGGCCTATAAGAAAAAAAAGATCAAAAGTTAGATATAAGGACAGATTGTAAGTGGGAAACTCCTACTATTTCTTTTAGATTTGGATGGTTAGTGGGGGAAGGGTTTCAAACTTTTCTGAGGTTTTTATTGTTCTCGATTGTTGTAACTGGGAAGTTTCCCTTTACTTCATCTAATCATCTCAGGAGAAGTAAGCGGGAATCCGCTCCCATCAGGGATTGCAGACAGTAATAAAAATCAACTGAGGCTCTAACCCTTCCCCCATTCATCTATCTGAAATCCATGATTCTGTCTTGCTGGTGTTTGCTTTACAAATGATTAGATTTCTTAAGGCATGTTTATAAAGCAGTACTAATGCATAAAGTATTTCAAGAAGTAAAGATATGAAGGTCCAAAATACAGCAGGGGGAGAAATTCAGGGCAGGCCGTACTATTTGTGCCAACTCTGCAGCTGCACAAGGGTCCCCTGGGAGCTCAGGGGGTTCATACCTATACTATGCTATACATAGTACCCTTAAAGGAATTGTGCTTGGGAAGAAGACTAAATGGGGGTGCAGAGAAGCCCTTGTCATGATAGGGGCGGGATGACCATTTCGAGCACTAGGCAGTGCTCCAAGTTAGTAGGGGGGCCACCAGAAGATGCCCTTGTACCTTTTCATAGGCTTTTTTGGGTTGGGGGGACACAGGGGCCCCATGATCCCCTAATGCCGGGGGCCCATAAAGTTGTCAGCCCGCCTGGCCCTGACCCTTTCACCCCCCCGGAATAACCCCAGACAAGATTCTGCCATATGCTACGGTTTCCACCTCACCCCCTTTAGTGTAATTTAAACCCACCCCCCTTTTGGGCCTTGTATAAAAAACGGCATTTTAAGGGGGGGTGGTGTTTTAAAAAGGGGCCCCCCCCGCCCTGCTTTGCGCCTCCTGGGCGCGCCCCCGTGATCCGTGCCCGCTGGTCCTGGAACAGGGAACCCCGATGTGGACGGGCCCTCTGTAGGGGGTCCCGATCATGTGATCGCTTTTGGGCCAATCGTGATCCATGCAAAGAGTAGCAAGTTGTCATTGTGAAATCATTGTTACTACGTGTGAAATCTGTGAATGATACGGGAAACACATGGTCAGGGTTTTCAAACCCCTTGTACCATGTGCAAGCTGTGACCAATCACATTTCCCTCGTATTCTCATGAGCAAGAATCAGCAGGGGGAAAGGGAAATGTTTGTTTTACACCCTTTAGGGGTATAAAAGAATTCACAATAAGGTTAACAGTGTCACCTGGTGAATGTCTGCTAGGGGGGACAGTATGTAAAAAAAATAAATAAATAATAATATAAAAAAAAAAAAAAAAAGTAAAAAAAATGTTTAAAAAATTAATTTTTGTTTAAACAAATTTGGCTTTTTTTTTTTTTTAAATTAAAAAAAATTAAAGAATAAATTTTTTCACAGTTCTTCTCCCCCACAGCTTTCTCCCCCACAGCTTTTTCCCCCCCCAAGTCCTTCTCCCCCCCCAGTCTCTTCTCCCCCCCCCTTTCTCTTCTCCCCCCCAGTCTCTTCTCTCCCCCCCTCTCCTGCATTACTTTCTTCTGTCTTGCAGTGCAGTTTTCCCATCAAATTTCTCCCTTTGTTTTTCCCTTTGTGTTTTTTGGGCCCAACGGCTTTTCTAT